ATCAACTTGGACATAGTGGGGTTCAGTTCAGACTTCAGAACATACCAACCAATATCACCTCTGCTTATGCAGGTGGTGCTGGGGCTGCTGATAAATTAGTACTAGTCGGTTGGTAGAGCGTCATTGTTTGACATCGCAGTTGTGCAGGAGACACCAGTAACCCTGGCCTGGAACCCGGATGAAGTGTCAGTCCTGTTGCTTTTCTAGACCTGTCAATCTGTTACTCTGTTATTAGCAACAAGAAGCCATATGCACAGAAGACTTGTTACTTCATTTTTTTTATTTTTGAAAACAGACTTGTTACTTCATGAACTCACAATTTGCAAGTAATCAGATCATAATTGCCAGGCTGACATAGATATGGCGTAATGATCGAAGTTAGGAAGCTGTCATGTTCCTGCATCCGGTAGGCATGGCCTAATGATCCGTCAAATGGAGGCTGACACGGCACTCTTTTTCGTTAATTAAAAATATATATATATGGCGAGCTGTCCGGAAATGAAACTCTCGGACGTCGAGGAGAAACTAAGCAGCATGGTGAAAGACGCATGTGCCCCTATCTATCCTTAGTCAAATCATTGTCTGGAGCTTGGGAATCTACAGCACGTTTGCAATGCTCTCTCCATTCCCACACTGTTGTTACGCCAGATGAAATGATTACTCCTACCATGGTACTCTGGAATTTCATTCTTTGGCGGACGGAGGGAGTAAGCTATAACGTCTGATTGGGGACACACGCAGCGGGCAGCGCGGCAGGCCAAAACCAGATAGAGTACGAATCCCAATACTGTGCTTGACAGCTAGTATGCCAAGTCATCGACGATCATGACGCTAACCTTTGCTGATATGATATGATATGATATATACTGTACAAATGAAGAAAGAAATAAATAAATAAATAAGTGTGTTCCTTTTCACGCGAAAAGGCCCTGGCATTAGTTTTTTATGGGCATGGTAGCGATCGTACGTAAAGCTAGCTAGCTCGTCGTGAACGCGTGGTGCTCAAACTCTTCTATCCAATTGTTTGCCCATGCGCCGTCCATTCTCCCTTTTTTGCAACAAATCAAACCAAAATTAACAATTGCCCTGGTGTGTCGTGTCGTGTGCAGGAGATGCATATCTTTCTTCTTCTTCTAAATTCCGTCTGCTTTGTCACGTAGGAGTATGTACATGTGGTGTGCCAAAAGCAAAACGTGCACGTGCACGCATCTTTGTCGAGTTCCAGGTATGCAGAGTAGTAGCCCAGTTAGGCTCTGGTTTCTGAACTTGGGGAGGCACGGCCTAGCTAGGAAGCGCTGGCTGGCTCCCAAGTCCCAACCTCCGAGTCCAAGGAGGTGCTGTCGCGAGCAGCATGATCTCATCAGATTACGGTACGTTGCTGTCCTGGCTTGACAAACTGACAACCGGAATTCAGAAGCGTGCTCAGCACATTCGACTTTCGTAGCACGACGTGCTATGCTACCCTACCCATGTCCACTCCCCGCCGTTCAGGACTGAGGTCCAGGTCCAGGCAACTGGTACGGTGACACCCAGGCATCAGGCCGTCCAATAACGTACGAGGGTCCACAAGCGTCAACTGCCCGCCATGCCATGCGCCACCCAAGGTGCAATGCAACAATGCTCCGCTCACAAGCCTCAATTCTCAGCGTCGTCAGACCAGGAACCAGATATGTTCGGTGTGACAACACGGGCTTTAAAAAAAATTGACAGAACGCTTGCCGGCATGTATTAGGTAGCAGTACCAACTGCTTCGAGCCTCTGACTTTTTCGACGTTTCCGTTTCAGATTTTCAACGTACTATTCTGGTTCAGGTTGACGTTCAAAGTGCAGTTTGAGACCATAGCCGTCTTCACAGGTAGTACCGTAGTAGGTCGAGCCGAGGGCCGAGCTCAAGTGTAAGGTCGGTCGCTGCAAGATCTAGAAGAAGGGCACGGCACGAGCACGCCGTCAGTTCTGCAGGAGGAGTGAGACCAAGGGTGCGCGTAACGATTTTCGCTTGATCGTATTGGCTATGTTTATTAAACAAAACACATCTAACCGATTTCTAACCAGTTTATAAACCAGATCAAGCCAACGGGGGTGTTCCTCCGCTCGCATCTCCGGTTAGGCGGGCTCGCAGCAGAGCAGGCCCGCGCATCACGCCCGGGCCCGCGCGGCGGCGACGGCGTGGGCCAAAGAAAACGAAAAGGCCACCAGAGACGGAGAGATCAGGATTCAGGAGCGAGGAAACGACATCCGGACGGCATCGCATCGCATCGCTGTCGCCCGCCGTCCATATGACCACGTGGCCCCCCGCCTGGCATGATCATTCGTCCCATTTTTTTTCTGGGTGTCCTTCCAAAGCAGAGATGTGCCGTGCCGACTCCGTGGTCGCATGCGCATCCTGCATGCAGCACGCGTACCGTTTGGTGGTGAGGTGCAAGATTTGCGTACTACCAGGAGCATCTAACTGTCAGAGTAACGGCTCTGACAAGTTCCTGGATGGATCCAGCTTCTGGACGTAGGGTAACGGCTCTGTACAGCTGTTTTTTCTACCCTTGCCAGAGTGTGTAGAAGTAGCAGGACTTCTGGCATTGAGATCTGGCTGGCCTTGTATTCAGAATAAACGGCAGCGTTAATTAGGTCAAAACGCAAAAGCTCGATTTGACGTATCCCTGGATCCTTGGTTACAGTCGTCAATCCACCATTTTTAGTGAAAAATAGTGACAACGACGACCGCTTTGATTTCTGCCTACTCCATCTCATTGGTCGATCGATCTTCACTTGGACTTCAGTATGTATGATGGATCATTATCTTAAAACAAATCCCTTGATGGATTGCACAGAACCGTACAGAGAAGGTGCGTGCGGGTGTGGTGAACCGGATGCATGTGTGTCCACTTCAATCCACATGTGCAGGAGTGAAAATTCCACTTCAACATATATGGATCGAGACAAATACAAGCACATCAAAAAAAAAAAAGGCCTTAAGGTGAAAATAACCTGACATGCAACGGAGACTCATCAATCCTTAGCTTCTGCTTTTTATGAGCTCCAAAAAGAAAATTATAGCCAAAAGGTCCATACATAGAAGCAGGAAAGAGTCCCTCGAGCATGCATATCCTGATATCCACAAGGCATTTTCCCGTCTTCCCAAATCCAAAACACAGCTAATGCCATGCTCGGTAGGAGCCAAGCAGAAAACGACTGGAAAACCGATGCCGTATTATCTTAATCAAGCAATGAACAAAAGACAACAAAGTTGATCGCTGGATGTTATCTTAATCAAGCAATGAACAAAAGACAACAAAATTGATTGCTGGAACTAGACTAGTTGAACACTACATATACGTACGTCATTGGATTGGAAGCTCTTTCTATGCCTGGCTGAACAGCTAATAAAAAGCCTAAACAATTAGTCAATTATTCGGATCAAAATTCAACAAGATATAGCAGTAAAATTTCCAGCGAATATAAAAAAAACACGTATCTGGTGCCTGCTTGGCAGCCGCCGTGTACATGCAGCCTGTTCGGGAGGCCGTAAACGATCGTGGATTATTTACTGCTAGCTAGATTGATGTGAGAGAAAAATACTGTTCTGACTGAAAATTTAAGATCGTTTACCAGGCTGATGGTAGCCAAAGAAAACTGAAGAGGGGTCAGGGGACCCTGCTGGCTCCACCCAGAGCTGGCCACGCGTCGCAAGACGTGGCGTGGAGCGCACCCGCCCACACAGGAGGCCACATAGTCCGGGTCAACTCGACTAGAACCCTGCTTCCTCATAGCTGGGCCCGCATATGAGACCACCCGAGCCCGGAGCCCACGCGCAGCGGCAGCAGATCGAATCCCGGTTCCAGCAGAGTCCCACTCCGCCACGAAAAAACTCGCTTTCGAAATCTCTCTCTTTTGTCCAAACTCATCCAAATCGCGTCGCTTAAATCTGCGCGATTCATAACGAATCGCCATAGTTAATCGAAGCATTAAACGAGGGAAAAAAAAAGAGGGAGAAGAAGAAAAAAAAGGAGGAGAGGGAGAGAGAGGGAGGCGGAGGCCACCCCATTCGCCGGCTGGTCCTGATCCTTGTCCGGGTCTATTTGGGCGGCGCCGCACGCAGCAGGAGGAAGAGATCAGCGCGGGGCGAGGCGTCAAACCCATCTCCATCTCCGACGCGGGAACCACTGGTGAGCGATTTGTTCTCGGTGGATTTTGCCGTTTTTTTTCCCCGGTGGCCTAGGTCTGATTCCTGCTTCCCCGGCCGCCGCTGCTAATTTTTGGAGGCATCTGGTGGGTTGGAGTGCGCGGATTTCCCTCCCCCCGTGTGAACACTGGATTGATGGATTTGGGAGTAGTCAACTAGCAATTCTGGCCGATTATTTCGACCTCCATGTGTGTGGCTTTTGTTAGTTTTTTCCTCTTTGGGAGCGGCGTGTGAAACTGTGATTAGGCATCTTCAGTTCTCCACCAGGCACCAGAGAGTTGGTCCCTGTCACTCTGCGAGCGGGGAATCTAATAGCAGTGTAGGATTATGTGCTTTCGTTTGATTTGTTGTTACTTTTGAGATTCCGCCATCGCTCTTGGGTGATCCTCTCAGAAAAGTGGGATGTGTTCTCAGTGGGGAGCCTTTTTAGTTTTGCAAAGTACACGCAGTTAGTTGTTAGGTGGCTTTATGGCTGCATATTAGATTGAGACATAGCTTGTTTCATGCTGTTCCCTTACCGGTTAGCTGCCATGTTTTGCTGTTTTTTAGTAGAAGTGAACATCTAAAGGTTCTGTGGATGGCAGGAGTTTTATATGATTGGAATTAGGTGATCCTAAGCTGACACTGATAGCATGGCTTATCAGTTTGCTTGTTGGTAGATGCTATAACTGGACCATGAACGTGACCTTGGAATTATTTCTTGCTAGTTCTTCATATTTCCTGATGCCATGTGATGACTAATGAATAATGACTAATTTCCGCTTTCTCGGTCACACCACTGAAATGGCAATCTTCGTGCTTGCATGATTACCAGGCATTTAGGATGGTGGACAAGAATGATGGGTCAGAGGGTCTTAAATTCAACACGTCAAACCTCATTCAAACAACCGAAGAGGTTGCAAGAGCATTTATTGCTGTGGCTTCGGCTGCCACTGCACAGTCTGCACGACCATCTGTAGTGTATTCATCCAAAGACGAGAGTGGCAGCCCAATGCAGAAGCTTCAGCAGCAATTTTCGAAAATCATGAAAGGGTTTTCGTCCTCACCAGACCTGTCAGGAACTTACAATCCAGAAGTGCTTACAACGCAAAAGCGGCAGTGGTCGAGGTACCAGCTGAAGTCATTGGTGTGTATCTCACTCTACCTATGTGGCATTCATTGTCTGTTTGTTGTCGTACACACTATGCAAAATAACTAAGGGCGCGTTTAGATCCGAAAATTTTTGGGTTTTTGGTACTGTAGCACTTTCGTTTGTATTTGATAATTAGTGTCTAATTATGGACTAATTATGTTCGAAAGTTTCGTCTCGCGATTTCTCACCCAACTATGCAATTAGTTTTTTTTTTTTCGTCTGCATTTAGTACTCCATGCATGTGCTGCAAGATTCGATGTGACACTTACTGCGCAAAAATTTTTGGTTTTTGGGGAGAACTAAACGGGGCCTAAGTTTACTAGTCAGAGCTGTAAGTTGGGATTGATTGATGTGAAGCCCCTGTTCTCTTTTACAATCACACAAGTAGCTAATAACACAAGTTTGCACTATATTGATCTTATAGCTTCACACTACAAGCTTACACACCTCACCTGATCTTCACAACCAAGCTATGCTATCACACATGCACACTAGCTTACTAGACACCATATACTAGCTTCATGTTCAGAACCAAGCTCTCTCTTCTCTATATCTCAAACTCTCTCCTACACAGGAGTTTTCCTGTGTTAGCAACCCCAACTGCCAACCCCTAATTCATAAGCAGAACACGAGTGTAACATATTTGAGGTTCAAATTACAACCTTTAGAAGAATGGAATTCGAAGCAAGCATGGGGATTAGATCAGGATCAGAGATACATCACGAAGAAGCTTCTGGTAGAAGGAAGAGAGTGAGGCAGGAGGAGGAAGAACATAGCTAGAGAGGATACAGATGTTCTCTGTATATGCCTCTCAAAAATTTGAACTGTTCATTGAAAGCTCCATCACTGCTGCTGTCATGACTCTCCATGCGAGTTCAAGTGGTAACTTTTGCTCTGAAATTGATCAATTGCTGCAGGACAGGAAGTCTCTCTCGTGGAAATGTTCTGTAGGATAGGTTTGGGTAGAATCTGTACATGTTTACTTGACCTTGCGCCATATCCTGTCCCTTTTGTAGGACTTCCAAGGGCGGATGGTTACTACAGTACTGCTACAGCAACCGACCTAATAGTACACAGCTCACATTACCCTACTTGCTGGCTAAGCAACCAGCAGTTACAGTTATTAGAAGTAAAATTTAATTTGCTCTATTTTTCACCCCAGCAGTTTGCTTGTTGCTTCCTGCAGTGGTAACTTCAAGTTGACCAACTCAACTAGCTAGCACTAGAAATTTCAGAGCTGCTGTCTTCATGTAGCTCTCTCATGATCCAGGAACCATCTAGGCCTATAGCATGTCTAACACTAATATGCCTATGTGACAAGATTACTCCTAACAGCCCTTCTGTTCTATTTGCTAGGAAAGAGTGAAACATGGTTAACTAGACCCCAGTTTGATATTAGTTTTTTAAATGATCTGGAAATTGGAGTTTGTTCATTCTCTCTTACTATCATAGCGCTTAAACTTTGCATTAACTATAGGGATGCTATTTTCTTTACTCTCTTACTCTCACTGAGTTCATATGTGATAATTACAGCTGCATGATGGCATGACGCGATAGTTAGTGCTTGAATGTCTATGTTGTTGTGGTTGGTGTACATACCTCTCAAAGTTGTTTCTTGGAACAGGGTGATAGGTGCATCAGAGAACCATCACATCTGTTCGAGAGCATAGTGATTGTTGGGCTTCCACCTCACGCAGATATCCAGGAGCTGGAAAACATTGCTCTAGGGAGAAATGATGAAGATGGAAAGAGATCAAGAAATTTATTTAGCAATAGCCACCAAGTTCACGCAATATCAAATTTGGAACCACAGGTTAGCATTCATCTTTCCTACTGTTTCATGTTGTCTGATCTAATGAGTAATACATTGTGGCAGGGACCTGCGTACCATTGTTTATCAAAAAATAAATCCTTGTGTTGATTTTATTTGTTTTCCCTTAGGTTCTTTTTGCATACCCTCCAGAGAAGCCTCTTCCACTCAAGTACAAGGATACCCTCTCTTTCTGCCTTCCCGGAGGTGTACAGGTCTGCATTAACTTTAGTCTTGATTTGTGATAAAGAGTTTAATCAGTATTCAGGTCTTCCTTTCTTGTTCTTGGAACACATGATTTCTTACCACCTAGTACTATTTGCATTTATCCATCATTATGCATTGGGCTGTACACCCACCCCGAGTATTCAGGCCAGTTGTAGATTCCCTAAAAAGGGAGCTTAACAGAATGGGGTGAAAAAGAAAAGTTTGAGGGGACACTGGGCAACACAGGCGGTGACCAGCGTGCTGCCACCCACCCAGCTGCCCTTCCTTCTCTTGTGTCACCCTTGCCCAGGGAGCCGCTGAAGGTCCGCGAGGATGGTGGTGGCGGGATCTTCACAGCTGGGCGTTCGTTGGGGAGCGCTTGCCCCACCCCAGTGACGTGGAAGGCGGCAGTGGCATGGTGGGCCACATCCTCGCTGGGGAAGGGTGGATCCGGTGAGCCGGCGTCCGGACCCATCCGTTTCTTCGGCCTCAGCGGCGGTGGTGGCATCGACATGGGCGGCGCAGTTGAGTGTGCTGTGGCGGTTTTGTGGCTGCGGTTGTGGCGGTCACCGGTATGGCTGGTGCTGTGGCGCATGGCCATGATGTGGGTGACGGACACATCAGTGGCGGCTGGGGCGATGTGGAGAGTTCACCGGCAAAGGTGCCTGCTCGTGGTGGCGCAGTGGCGACAAAGGGAGCCGTGCGTGAGGTCGTGGTGGCGTTGGGGTTGGCAGTGTGTGGTGGCGCGGTGTTGGCTTCCATGCTTGTTGGTTGCAACTTTTAATGCGGTTACAGCGGTGTAATGGCAGCCGCATCACCGCGTGCTGTGTTGGTTGTTTGGTGGTGGTGGATTCTGTGGTTGGAGTCATTGCTGTGGCAGCAAGGCAGTGGTGGTGTCCAGGTTGGCGATGCTTGTGAGCACTGAGTTTCTCCCTTTGGGGCGTTGTCGAGGCACCACCATCCCCCTTGGGGCTTGTTTGGAAACATAGCAAACCCCTTCAATCCATACGTATTGGAACGGATCGAGTTTATACAAGCCCTTGGTGCTGTCCAGGTTTCTTGGGTGGGCGACGGTGGTGTCTTTCTTGGCGTTGTATTCCAGAGGTGTCACCTTTGTGGGGTCTCATTCCAGTCACCTTTCCACCTTGCCATCGGCGCCATCCACGGTGGCGGTGGTGCTTTTGATTGTCCTGTCGACAGTGGGTTTGTGCGGGAGAGAAGTGGATCCTTATTCTCTCTCGCCCTCCCTCTCTGCACTCCTTGGCGAGCTGGCATCCAGGAGTCCATGTTGTGGTATGTGGCTTGGCATTGTTGGAAACGTGTGGGGCGCTTGCGGCTCATTTGTTTTTGCCTAGCGGCGGACGGTCATGCAGAGCGGCGTCCAGTTCAGTGCTAGGCTGCTTTCCTGCGGTTGGAAATGTGGTGGATGGTGCAGTTGCCTGCATGCTGCTGTTTGTTGTTTGGTTGTGTTTTTTTTTTCTTTTTAGTTGCTTGATTATGGTCTCTCAGGGCCATGTTATTATATTTTCTTCTTCTATATCAATAGAAACACACACATCGGGTGTTGTTCGTTAAATAAAGATTATGCATTGGGCTCTTGGATCTTTGATACAGCTTCCGTTTCTCCTGTATTATATCCTGCATGCATTTCGTAGCAGTTTGTACTTCATGTTTCTCATGGCCTACAAGTTGAGTGATTCCCCAGACCAAATTAATGTAGCATACCTACATTATTGGTGTTCCCTCCAAACAGTTTGTTTCAGTTAATATTATTAGAATTTGCCATCTGGTTAAGGTTACCATATGTAAGGCAAAGTGACATAATAGCAGTCGTCTACATAATATTGCAATTATATATAGAAATGCGAAAACTTCTTGAGGATATAAAGGTTGATCAATGAGCATAAACGAGCTTATGGTGTTTTCCAATAGTTATTGAACACGATAGATGGGATCATGCCTTCAGGCGTTCTTTTTTGTATGAAGTAGCTATTGGCACTTTGGCAGTGTATTGCTATATGCTATCAGTATCAGACTAAGCCGTAGGAGGAACTAGTCAAGTCAAGAGTCTGTTTAGTTTCCTGTCACATGTTTTCAATTTTACCTTTCTTGTTAAGCTATTGGACAATTTACCGATGTTTATATTTGTCTACTAGGTTCATGCTGTCGAACGTACTCCTTCATTCAGTGAGCTGAATGAAATTCTCCTGGGACAGGTGACTGTTACTCCGCTATGTCTGTGACTTTGTTTTGCTTCAATCAGTAGATATCTCTTTAGCTGACAAATTCATTATTTACTTCTGAGACCATAGTAATTCAAAAGCTCAGTTGATTTACTTCCTCTGCCGTAGAACTCATCTCATTAGTTCTACCTGCAAGAAGCCATCATCTGGTCTTTTTTTGTGTGCAAGTCTTATAATCTTTATTATTATTATCCATTTCAGGAACAGCTTAAAGAAAGCAACCAATCATTTGTGTTCCGCCTACAGGTATACATATACATCTTTCTCTACTGCATCCTTTTGCTGTACCAGGTGGCTTATGATTGAGAGATTGCAGGTCGCTGATAACTCTGCATTATATGGATGCTGTGTGCTGGTTGAAGAGATCGTACAGAGACCATCAAAGTTGGTATCGATGCTCATGAATGACAAACCCATCTTTCCACGCAGGAGTCGATACGTGATAACTACGCCCCGGTGTTATTGCATCCTGTCCAGGCTTCCGTTCTTTGAACTGCATTTTGGGGTGTTGCAGAGGTACTTTTTTTTTTGTGAAATCATCATATTGCTATCTTATTGACTTACCGTATTCATTGTATCTGAATTCTGACACCTATACAAACATCTAATTTGTGTTTATATTTAGCTTTAGGCTAGTGTGCAGTGCACTGACAGCTGACGCTTGTAATTTCTTTTAGTTGCATAGAGTTGTGTGCTAATCCTGGAAGTTTTGATGCTACCAGTCTCACTATTGATATACTATTTTCTTATGCAGTATTCTTATGGAAGAACGTCTTGAGTGGCTCACAGATGGTGTTAGCATGCTAACTTCCTTATCGCTTGAGGAATCCTGTGAGAACGATATCTGTGAAGGAACTGAAGTTACAGCACAGAAACAGTATTTAGATAGTAACACAACTGATGTGGATAAATCATCTGAATCTAGCATGGGAGTTTCATCAAAGGAGCTGTCTGACACTGATAGCAGTTCTGGGTATAGAGAGAACCAGCTTGACTTTGTTTCTAAAGAACAACAGCAAAATAGTTCTTGTGATAAAGAGCAGAGTGATCTTAAAAGAGAAATTGTCACTTGTTGTGATGTTTCTGAAGTGTCTGATCATTTTGTTCCCGAAGATACATCATCTGGTCAGTATGGAGTTAAGCATCATGAACTTGATTCTGCATCAGGTATCCAGGATGAATCTGGCGCAAAGAACTGTGATGATTCTCCGAAGGGAAATGTGGATGATGAGGAGCTTGATCTCTTCATTACTGATACTATTTTACCACTTATGCGATCTCACCTTTGTGAAGATTGTGAATCATCTCCAAGGTATGCTATGCCCACAAATCAGTCCTAGTATGTTATCACTGTATGAGTTTATTTGTTCACTCATGTTTGTGAGAAATGCTTTACCTTTTTCCTCACTTTAGCACTCGGTGTCCTGTCAACACTGAACTCCACTCCCCGCCCTGTGCGCTGCTTCTTGAATTCTAAATCTGATTGAAATCATCCTTTTACTTGATTACTTTTGATGTTGGCTGTTGACCATAGCTAAAACCAATCATCATTTGTAATGCTTAGTGTACATGATCACCAATGCCTGATTAGAGTCACAAAATAGTTACCATCTTTTGCTGCAGTTCACAGGGTTCTCCTTCTGAAGGCAGAAATTTCGACACCCAGGAATCGGATTCAGAGGAGCCATCTTCCATTGGTGATGGAGACTTAGTTAGACACAACAACATACTGCAGTGGGCTAAGGTTTATGCATGAACTCAGGCACAACTGCTTCATTTTCCTTGTTTTGTGTCTTTGTTTTGTTTGTTAACTTAAATGTTTTATCCAGGCAAAAAAATATGGTTCTTTGCAAGTTGTCTGTCAATACTACCAGTTACAGTGTCCTGCTAGGGGTTCATCACTTACTTTTCATCCCTTGGAGCATTTGCATCCTTTGAGTTTTCACCGGCCAGGTGAAACAGTTCTTCACATTGCTGGTTCTACTATTGAGCTTAGGTCACGTGATACAAGCTTAGAGGTTGCTGAGGTATGTTGATGCATGGTCACATTATAAGGATTGGACTGTGATGAAGCTATGACATATAGCGTCTTGAAATATAAGACTAGTATGCCTTAATGTCACATCCATTTTCTAGATGCGGAATTCACTCTTTGCTGAGGAGGAATCGACTGCTTTATCCACATGGGCAGTGGCATCCATTTGTGGATGCCTAAGGTTGGAACATGTAAGTATCGTATTATTCTAAGATGATATAATTCTTTTTTAGAAACTCATTAGTTGTTTTATCGCTCTTGCTTGATACTCTTGTTAGAAGGAAAACATCATCTTTCAAATGTACAGGTGTTCATGTCCAGTAAATCAACATTGTCCTTTTTTAAGTTTTGGATAGATGATGCAAATCATTTGCAACATATTTGCATTTTTTATTTGATGTACACGTCTGTAAAAATGGACTTCAACACAATACATTGACAATCGCATTAGCTGCATCAGTTTTTGTTTGTTGTGTTCTAAGAGCAAGCTAGTAACCTTGTTACTACATAACCTTATTCTTTTTTGCTCTTTTGATTTTTTTTTTCTCGAACAGCGCAGGAGAACTGCGTGTCATTTCATTAAGGTAGAAAAATGTTACACGGGTCAAGAGACCCAACTCACACACACCACACCCTGGACACTAAGTTACAGACTCGCCACAAAAAACTGTAGAAGCGACCAAATGCCTCCGAGCTTTAAGCTCCAGTAGGCAGCGACCTGAGAACAAGCTCATGAAGTTTGGAGGCTCCAGCCGAGCACCAGAGTCCTCCCTCCGAGCTAACAGCCCTAATGACTTCCTGAACACTTGGTCTCTTGTTGTCAAAGACACAAGAGTTGCGATGCTTCCAGATCTCCCATGCCATCAAGGAGTTGAGTCCTTTACGCACTTCCTTGGGGACAGCTGCAATCGATCTCTTCCACCACCCCGAGAAATGAGAGACAGTAGGCTGTGGTGCCAACTGCAGCAGCCCCAACTGTTGCAAAATCAGGGTCCAAACTTGTCGAGCGAAGACAGCCCACTAGCAAATGGCTTATTGTTTCATCCACTTGATCACATAGGGGGCAGGACTCTGGATGGGGCAGATTCCTCCTTGCTAGGCGACCGGCTGTCCAAACCCGGTTATGAACCACTAACCAGATGAAAAACTTACAGCGCGGGGGAGCCCAGGTTTTCCAAATTCTTCTCCACGGACCGAACTTGATGGAGCCCACAAAAAAGGCCGCATAGGCAGACTTGCTGCTATAAGAACCATCCTGCGTTAACTTCCATTTATATCGGTCTGGAATCTCTGGTTGCAAAATAAAGCCATCCACCATATCCCAAATGTGGAGAAATTCAAGCAGGACCTCTACTGTACGAGCTCCCTTAATATCTTGAACCCAGCTTCTATTATGCAGTGCTTGAGTTGAGCCACAGTCCTCCTTTTGGCTGTTCGCTTCTGGACAGTTTTGAACAAGTTAGGCGCTATTTCAGCCATGGTATGCCCATCCAACCATCTATCTGTCCAGAACAAGATTTCCTCCCCATTTCCGACTATGGCATCAACTGCAACATTGAAGAGGGCCCTGGCTTTACGTGTAACAGTGATTGGGAGACCATGCTCTTTTGATTGATGTAACATGGAGCATTTCCAATTGACTGATGTATATCTGTAGCATGCAGGTTGTGTAATGCCTTTTTCTTCGCATTATCTTCTGTTCCTTTGTAGCAATTCTGCATTAAAAATATGTAGTAGTACCTTGTACAGGATCATTGTGTCTTCTTTTTTTTCTTTTTGAAATGTGACAAAAGGATACCACAGAAGCTAAAAGGCAAGTTTTATAGGACGACGATTAGACCTGCTATGTTGTATGGTGCAGAATGTTGGCATACGAAGAGACGACATGTTCAACAGATAAGTGTCGCGGAAATGCGTATGTTGCGTTGGATTTGTGGTCATACAAGAAGGGATCGAGTTCGGAACGATGATATACGTGATAGATTAGGGGTAGCACCAATTGAAGAAAAGCTTGTTCAACACCGGTTGAGATGGTTTGGACATGTCCAATGGAGACCTCCAGAGGCACCGGTGCGTAGTGGAATCCTAAGCCAGGATAGTAACGTGAAGAGAGGCAGAGGAAGACCGAAGTTGACTTGGGTAGAGGCAATAAAAGGAGACTTGAAAGGATGGAATATACCCAAAGACTTAGCCTTAGATAGGAGTGCTTGGAAAACAGCTATTCACGTGCCTGAACCTTGATTGATTCTGCTAGGTTTCAACTCTAGCCTACCCCAACTTGTTTGGGACTTAAAGGCTTTGTTGTTGTTGTTGTTTGAAATGTGATCTGTGATCTAGCCTTCTTCATTGTTGGGCATGTGCTTTATCTGTTTCAGAACAAAAAAAAAGTAGATTATATAAAGGTACATTGCATTGTTGTACAATTTCTGAAACAATAGTTTTGGCAGGTAATGACACTTTTTGCTGCCGCACTCCTGGAGAAACAGATTGTTATTGTCTGTTCTAATCTGGTATGGTTCCAAGCCTTATCAATTTGGCATTTTTTAAGCATTCAATTTCGTTTTCTTCTGGTTTGGCTGCTTGTTCAATTTCGTTTTCATTTATTAATATCCCTTCATGAGTCTATCTATAAAAAGAGGAATATTAGGAAGAAAAACATCCTGAAAATCATATAGTTTTGAAGATTTTTGTTGTGTCTGCTGATGAAACCATTGAAAATTGGCACTAACATTCTCAAGCAATTTCTTACGGTCAGGGAATGTTATCGGCTTCAGTTTTGTCCATCTTACCTCTAATACGACCGTATCGGTGGCATAGTCTCCTCATGACGGTACTATTTTTTTTGTGTTTTGTCAAATTTGGCCTTCATGTCAGGTATATAATTACTATTGATTCATGTATTCTGTTCCATCAATGATTTCCAGGTTTTGCCTAATGACATGATGGATTTTCTGGATGCCCCAGTTCCATACATAGTGAGTTCCTGATCTTGTTGACATTATTTGCTTTGACCAATGTGGTGTGTGCCTGTGTTTTTTAGTGGGTGGGTGGGGGGGGGAGCGGTTGTAAAAAAAGGGCAGACCCAGTGCCGGAGGCTCCCACATGAGTGGGGTCTGGGGAAGGGAAAAACCGAGGCAAGCCTTCCCCCCGTAAAATCTGCGGAGAGGCTGCTTGTGAGGATGGGAATTAGGGAGGGATATAAAATACTCCACATGTGAATGTGATTATGTTTTGTCTCATCACTCTCTATTTCAATTGAGTTTATGTACATATCCCATGAAGAATTAACTGCTTGTTGTCATCTTTAGGTGGGTGTACAAAACAAGACATCTGATGTGCTCAACAGGCTACCAAATGCCGTGGTCATTGATGCCAACAGGAATCAGGTACATAGACTCATTGCCATGTCACTTTCTGGAGTTCAATCATCCGCGCGACTGCAGATAGGTTTTAGTTATTGTACTGCCTCCGTCCCATCTCGTATTTTGAGAAGTCAACCAATCTCAACTTTGACTAGGTTTATAAAAAATAGTATCAATATTTTCTATCTCTAAATAACTTTATGAGAATATATGACATGATTAATCTATTGATGTTTTATCTTGTATCACAGATATTAGTATTTTTTGGTATATATATTTGGTCAAAATTAAGATTATTTGACTCCTCGGAATGCGAGATGAAGATTTCTTTTGGGATGCAGGGAGTAAATGGTTAGAAGAAATAGGTCTAACTCTGTTGACTTTGTACTGATACTGAATTTGTAGGCTGGGATTGGCAGTATTCTTAAGTTTCTCTAATTGTTGAAATAAACTTTTATTATTCAAAATGATGTATACTAACAGTTCTGGTGCATACAATTTCTGAGTAGCACTTTAACTCATGTTCTCCGAATCCTCATTCTGTTCTCAGCCATTTAATTGACTTTTAAGAACGTTGCTGTAGCATGATTGATCACTGGATGCTAAGGGTTGCTGACACATGAATTCCTTGTGGTGTCCAGATTAAATCTTCTTCAGTTCCGCAACTACCACAGCACAGAGAGTTGCTTTCTGCCTTGCGCCCGTATCATTCAATACTTGTTGGCGAAAGTTATCTTGCAAGAAAACGTCCTGTTTACGAATGCACAGATGCCCAGGTTGTGTATTGGCTATCTACTAGTTCTTCATGATCTGTCCAATTTTCTCCCATCTTTTTTTTTTCAAATGTACAGCGGTGTAATTTTCGATGATTATTATTTTGCTGCCTTAAGCTTTTTCTGAACTTCTCTGGGAGTGATTGAATGGACATATAAATTGTCTGCCTTATTTTTCCTTTCGTTTTGCTTTGACTTGCAAGTATAGGATCCATAAGCTTATGTCTATTACTTTCCAACAAAATTTAGAGTTAGTCAGGGCAGCCTGTTTTCATTGTAGTTATATAACATTTTGGGCCTGTAAAGCATTCTGTTCTTTTATACAGTCAAGGCTCTAAAGTGTGTCTACTCTGTTTCTCTCTATATGTATCTAACCTTTTAAGCATGCAGGTGGAAGCGGCCAAAGGTTTCTTGGCGGTGCTTAGAGACTACCTTGACACACTATGCTCGAACTTGAGATCTCATACAATTACTAATGTGCAATCTAACAATGACAAGGTTTGTTCTCCTGCCTTTGCTGATATTTTGTCCTGGATGATTTAGTTATGTTTCTATATATATGCGAATTATTAGTATGAACTGAGGATAGTTTTTTTGGTATGAACTGTGGATACCATACCACATTACAGTTTTTGTTGGATGTAAAAACTGTGATGTTGTATAGTATCACTAGGTATACTTTTTGGCATGCTTATACAATTGTCAGAATGCTGGTTGCTGACTCTATTTTTCTTTGCATAGGTTTCCTTACTTTTAAAAGAGAGCTTTATTGGTTCTTTCCCAATCCGGGATAGGCCTTTTATGAAGGTACTAAATTACATTCTTTCCTTTGCCTTTAAAGGAGTGTTTGGTTTGCATATTCATGTTAGTGACACCCAAGCAATAAAATATGTAAATAACATTGTCAATGCCGGGTTCTCTTTTCTTTTCTTGATTCAGCTGTAGGGATCAAATTTTGGCATGCTCAAATCATAACTCTCTCTTGCCCATATCCACTGTTCTGACTAATGTACATTGTGCTTTGTTTTTTGTTGACAGCTTTTTGTGGACACGCAGTTGTTCTCAGTACAGACAGACCTAGTTCTCTCCTTTTATCAGAAGGACTAAGTGTCTGACAGACTTGAATGTCTGTCTCATCTTGCCAAGGTGAGGACTAGTATATGCCTTTGTATTTTTTATCTATACTGTTAGATTTGTGATTTCTGGTACTGAATATTCCTTGGTAACCTGCTTCCAAAATAAAGAAGTTACAAGTAGTCGCTGCTCGAAACTTGGTTACTGTACTTTCAAGTGTCCATGGGCACAGGGCTAGTACCGGGGCTCATAGCTTTTGGTTTATAGCTTGATATTCTCCAGAAACACTGTTTCCTTGTTGTCAGATAGCTCAAAGAAAATCCCTGTGATATCCTTGCTGTCAGCTTTGGCGCATTTTTTCCGTTTCATCTTTAGTTAGCATTCTTTACCAGAGTTAAAGTTTTACTACATCCATGATCTAATCGAGTTGTGATATATCTATTTGCACTGCAGCCTTTAGATGTTGAGCTAAACTGTACATATCGGCTTAGAAAGAATGAGCTGCCTTCGTCACTTTGGCAGCGCAGTGTTTGTGTTAAGAGCTGGAAGGAGAAGCCATATACTGTCAGAAAAAAATGGTAGATGTCAGGATCCAGTTATGGGTATTGAAGAAGAATGCCTATAGCTGTTGTAAGTTAGAGTCCGGTGCGGTGATCCGCCATCTAAGGTTTTGTAGGCTGGGTGCCCCAATAAGAAGCCTTCTATGGATTGTTCCTGCAATGCTTGTGCTGTAATGGAACCATGTCTGCGGCAAAATCTCCAGACTTGAATGTGTTATGCCAAGAATCCAAAAGTTATACCGTGCCAAAGCGCGGTTATCTCCAGTTGTAATTTAACGTGTGGTATTTTTATCAAAGCATACAGTGTCAAAGTGCATCTTGTATCAAAGCATACAGACTTGAATGTGTCATGATGATCTAAGCATGAAAGCATCAGCCTAATGATCCGATTTCACGAATCCGCAACGTGCAGGAAAGTGATCGGTATGGTGAATTTGCAGCCATACTTTATGCAGCATTGCCATTCTTTCAGGCTTTCAGCTACTAGCCTACTCCTAGTCGTTAGTGTCGGCAAGGTACAGGCTGGTAGCGTCGAAAGAAGAGTCTTGTTTTCGAGCCTGGATCAGAAATTCGGAATGCTTGACTGCCTAACCATAGGGCCCTGAGTTCGCTCACGGCAAATGCTGGACTGATTCAGACAGAAAGCCCAAACTGGAGGTGCCCTCTAGCCTAGGGCCCGGCCTTCTTTCACGACAGTGACTCATCATCCTCCAAAGCCTGCTGCTTCATCAGCGGCAGCCATGCTTTAGCCTACGGAATGGCACTTTTGACTGGAGATTTTGGAATCTGCAACGCAACGCCAACGCGGGAGGGGAGGCTTTGAGGCAGCAGGGCTGCAGGAGGCAGGAGTCGAGGAAAGAAATGGCTGCCTGCTACAGTGCGCGTTCGTGCGTGCGCACAGGGGAAGGACTTTGCCCCGTGGGGCGGTGGCAGGCGGCCGCAGGGGCGCAGTGAATGTGCCTGCCACAAGTACCAGCACCACCAAGCGCTTTTCCTTCATTCAACCAGTGGTCGTCACACTGCCCGTCTGTCTGTGCCCCTCTGCCCCTCCTGCAGGCTGCAGTCTTTCTGACCGCCCCTTCCGGCTCAGCCGCTGCATGTGCCGCTGCCGCTGCCTGCCCGCTGCCCGCTGAGCAGGGTCGCCATGCCGCAGACCGCGCTACAAAGCGAGAGGCATGGCACCGCTCTCGTCGGTCGTCACCCGTGTCCGTTTGTCAGTGTGTACCGTCCGCGTCCGGGCCAGTGCGGTGGGGATCGATCGACTCGAGAAAGAACGCCGACCCTTTTGTGAGTGTGAGTGTGAGACTGACGGCTGACGGCTGACGAGCGCGAGCTGCGCTTGGAAAGGCGCTGCCCTGCCTGCCCGACATGACTGCCTCCTGATGCTACTGCCTGCGGCTCGCTCCCTTCTCACGGGCCAGACGTTGCCAGGGCTGACGTCGAACCGCGAGCTGCGCTTGGAAGGCTACCTGAAGACCGCGGATTCTCTGTGGTAGGGGCCACGTGGTGGACCCAGGTGGGGCACGCACCGCGGATCGTCTGTGGTAGGGACGTGGTGGACAGGTGGGCACGCACGTCGTCTAGCCACACCGCACCAACCAGCGTCGCGGCCGGCCGTTGCGAATCAGCTGCCTACTCTAGAGGGGATGATGGATCACGGCCTTTCTAGGTGTGAGTGCGAGTCCAGAGGGGATGATGGATGCGCCGTGGTCCTTGGCCATAGGCCCTGGTGTCGGGATGATCTCCAATTGACCCAACGGTCAATTGAGCTCTTGATCCCTGTCCTAATTAGAGGTGCTCAGCCGGTTTTAAGTGACTGATGGGTATCGTCGTGTAGCACTATTCAAAGGACGGTGGGGGCTGGGGCACATGACGAAGTTCACTGGTAGCCGCCAGCGCCTCACCGTGATGTTCTAACCCCAATCCGATCTAGAAAAGGGAGCTGTAAGCGACGGGATGTACCACCGCTTTCGCCGCCGTCTCTGCACCACGCCCAATGTCTACTCCACGCCGGATGCCACTGCTTCCACTACCCCGACACCCCTCCGTGACGACTACGCCATGGACGGCTCGTCATCCTCCAAAGCTGACGGTGAGATACATCTACATTCCCTCTCTCTCTCTCTCTCTCTCTGAAACATGTTCTAGGTCGAATTGTATCAACCAGTAACAGTTTCACCCTCTAATCTACACCTAGACGATCCTAAGCACTTAACGCCTGGACCTCAAGTGGTAGCAGCTGACCGAGCAGCAAATGGCTGATACGGGGAATCATCAGACGATGCATGCACCCTGCTCCTGGGTTGCCGGCAAGAAGAGCCCGTTTGCTGACCTGGGTCATGGCCGCCTCCTGCCGACCGTCCCCCCACGGAGCAGGTTTTCCGAAGAAAAAAGCGTTCCACCGTGCGCGCCCCAGTGTGACACCGTCGTCCCCCTCGCTCGTGCTGCGCTGCGCCAACTCATCCGCCACCGATCTCGCTTCCCTGCACATTCGAGTGTTTCCAACAACGCTCCTTTTTTTGAGGGGGTCATGGATGCTGAAACGCTCGTCGATCCAGCCTCCACTCGTCAGGCTCAGGTGCGCGGGTGGTGTATCATGTATGGATACACGCACGCCTTGCCTTGCCGCCTTGGCATCTTTTCTTGGCCGGTGGCCGGTGGCGGTCCTTTGGTGCATCTGCTTGCTGAATGTATGCCCATCTTTCTCCTTTCTCACCTTTGCATAGACTAGCACTGCGCACAACAGTGTTTGGAGCGGCGCTTTGTATCGCTGACTGTAGCGCTATGCAGTCTGTACGCGGCATCCATGGTCCTGTTGTACTGTACATCGTCGCAGGGAATCCCTGCTCTCGCCCTCCCATTTGAGCACAGCTGAAGACGGTGCATTTCTGAACACGCCATAGCAAGGCAGGACTCCACTTCACACATACTATTACTGTATAGATCTCCAGTGTACTAGCACAGTTAGAGTAGCATATTTGGGTGTTTATGATGCCAAATGGGAGAGCTAAACATGGCTAATCATGGGTCCAAACAGAAACACTCCCTAAATGGCGTGTTTTCGCTGATTCGAAATACTAGTGCTGTATCAGTTGCACACAAACATCCAGTGACATTGCATGTGGTGGGTTCAAAAAACTTCAGTCACATCGTCACCGGTATTGGTTTGGGTCGCTACGCCCCCCACTAGCCCAACACCACTAACCATGGGCATCTCCATTTACAACTGGCCACAGAGGCTCTGGCGCCGCACTGACCGGCCGCGGCAGCTAGCAAAAGCGGACGGGGGAATGGGAGCGCCTGCATGCGTCTCTCGCCGCGCTGCCAGCGTCCGTCCAAGCATCCGTGCATGACAAGCAGCACACTTGCATGCCGCCCACTGGCTGACGGCTGACCTGACCAGACCGGAAGCGTGCAGGAGTGCAGTGCATGCATGCATGCATGCGCGCGCGCAGGCAGCGGCAGCGAGTGACCGGTCCTGATGTCTGATCCGTGCCTGCCTGCCTGCCGCACTGGCAGATGCCATAGGAGGCGTCAGCGAGGCCAGTGCTGGTGCCTGGTGCTGGCCGGCTGGGAGCGAGCCTGGCTGCCTGGGTGAGGCGAGGACGTACGAACGGCTTCATGGGTCGCAGGCGTGCAGTCACTGAACGGCGGCATGGGAAGGCCTGCGCCCCCATCTGATCTGACTGACCGCTTCTTTGACTCACCATGCAGGGGAGTGGGAAAGAGGAGACGCCGCGAGGCAAGGCAACAGCCAACAGGCAAGGGGGCCTCCAGCCTTCACTCTCCTGACACACGCACAGACACAGAGACACTCCCTCCCTGCTCTGCTCGGGTCGCTTCGTGAGGGGACAAAACATGTGCTCTGACTGTGAGTGAGCGAGCGATGCGCGCTGCAGCTGTGGCAGACTTGCAGTGCTGCTTCTGAGCGTGGCCTGGGCCCCGGGGTGATGCGGTTTTCCCACTCCCTTCCCTTGCTCGTTTTCATTTCTGGCATGTTCGCTTGAACTACATTATTTTTCATTTATAATAAAACAGCTTTAGCGGATTTATTAACTTTAATACCAACCGAACAGCAGCTTCATCTGCGTCAAGGGAAACCGAGGTCAAAATGGGGGAAGTGCAGGGTTTGGACACGCGGATCCGGTTCGTGGTTGCCCTGCATTGGCCGCCGGAGCAGGAAGATGGTTCTCTTCGAATGGGCAAGGGCCACGACTAGTGGCCTTTTTTGGGCTTTTGGCAGCATGATGCACACAGGCATGCTTGAATCATACGGTGGGGAGGCAGAACATGTGCTTCCAAGTTTCATCTGGAAAAAAAACCAACATGTGCTTCCAAGATTCATCTGGGAGTACGTACTGTGTCTCTAATCTCTACTACTACATGTTGAGCCCCTTCATCAACCACACAGCCCACCAACACACAGGGCGCTTGCTTCCTTACCAGCTGCGTTTCAGAAGAAGAAAAAAAAAG